GTAAAGTACGACGTAAGTAGTATATATATATATATATATATATATATATATATATATATCTGAAAAGAACTTACAATTTTCAGGGACTTGTAGGAGGCCAATACCCCAATGATCCTATGAAAGAACAAATGGCTAGAGAAAATGCTGTTGTGGTGAGCATACAGTACATAATGTTTCATTCTTCCATAAAATGTATTAAAATTCCTGAGGTTTTACCTATCTGAGTGGAAAGTATTAGAAATACACTTAAGATATAATTACCTTACAATATTGTGTGGTTAGAACAACAGTTCTTGTGTTGTCATTCATTCACTTATTGCTATCTTTTTCCACTATTTAATCAATCTGATAAGTTACAAGATAAAATACTTCTTAATGCATTTATTAGAGAAACTTATTACAATTAGAAACTTGCCATTCATTTATTTTTGCTCATTTTGCTAGGATAGTATTGCAGAGGAAACTCAAGTATATAAAATTATGCTTGTATTTATGTATTTCTTTTAGTCATTCACCTACATGCATCATTAGTAAAAAATCCCAATTTTTAACACTTTTCTTTAGATTGTTTTTCTCAAGATTGGATGTGATGTATAAGAATCCCATTATGTTCAACAGTTCAAAATAAGATCATGTGTACCATTGGTTATTTAATGTTTACAGATATTTTGTTTCATTTATGATGCAGTGATTAATAAGGGGCCCTAAATCTTTTGTTTTAGCCTATTCTCTAGGTTTTAATTACTTTGGAGAATGTTTATTCCTCATCAATAACTACTTAGACATAAATAATGGATCAGAATTTTGCAAAAACCTTTCTTGCATCAGGAATTGTTAAAATGCATGTGTGTATTACTAAATAACATTTAAGAAATTATCAAAACTCCTGCTGGCTTTTATGTGAATTTATCAAGTGAAATATGGTAATCTAGTAATGAGAAGATCTTAAAATACCATATACATGTTCAGGTACTAGGTTCTACACATACAGAACTTTATAGTTTTAGTGCTTTTATTTTCATATAAATGTAATATATCAAGGAAGTTACAATTGTAGTTTTATAGGATATTGTTTTATATCTTTTTTTTATATTTTATCTTTTTAATCGTGATAGGTTTGCACTGAAGGAAGACTAATACTTGAATTTACTTTTGATGACTTGATGAGGATAAAGTCTTGGCACTTTGCTACACGAGCTCATAGAGAGCTTGTCCCACGTAGTGTTGTTGCCATGCAGGTAAGATTAAATGAAATTTGTCTACATGTCATTGCTTCTAAACAAAAAAAAAATATATGTACCCACACACAAGTTTTTGTGGGTGGTGAAAACCATAGGCCCTAACATAAAATTTATCTTTCTCAGATCATTATATTTATTGATCAGTTGGGAAAACATTGCCTGTTTTTGTTGGGTTTTTTACCATGAATTTCATGTATATTATAGTTTAAAATGCAACTTCTTTATGGGTAAATTAATAAATAGCATTGAAAAAAACCAAAACAGAGTTTAATTGTGCTAATCAGAGGTTAAAATTAAAATTTGTGCAATTATTGTCATCTGCTTACTTCTTTGTGTTTTTAAAATTAAGAGACTGTATTCACCAAGCATAAACTAGGTTATACTTTTGTAAGAATTGTCTAATGATAGGAAAAGTTTGAGGTTTAAACTTTCTTTTTGCCAAAATTGGCATACTATTTTTGAAAACATTTCCATGGAATTATGTGTTGAATTCTTTGGTCTGGTGTCCAGTGAGAATTATTTCACTTTGTTACTAATATAGATGTAATAGCTATTGTATTTCTTTGCTGCAAAAATGCATTCTGCACTTTTGGGTCATGAGTGAGTTATTAGAGTGATGGTATAATTCCAGCTTTCAGTCAGACTATGAATTGGTTGTGGGTGTTGTTGACCAATTACATTCCCTTTAGTCTATCGGTTTAATAGTAAGGATGGCTCTTTGCAGTTATCTCTTTGTGTAAATTTTACAGAAGTTCTAAAACAACAAAAATGTAAGAGTTATTATTTATACCTCTAATTAGGGTCTTGACACTGTGATGGATAAGTCACTAATGCCATCAAGGCAGTGTTCTCTGTGGTAGTAAAGCCAATTTAATTTGATGCTGCATTTATGGACATATTGATTATAAGTATAAATAGGTAATTATTTCTGTAAAAATCACAAGTCAGGCGTCACTTGGATACTAGGTACAGTTATAGTTTTAATATTATCTAATAAATAATATGGACTTACTGGAAAAGATTCTGTTGAGGACTAATAGGATGATTCCAGGGATGGAAGAGTTATATGAAGGGATAGGTAAGATTGCTAAACTTGTTTTCTTTCAGAAAAAAAAAAGGGTATGCGGTAGTCTTACTGAAATGTGTGATAACAAAAGCATAAAGGCTTGTGTTGTATTCTGAAGACAAAATAATGAGAGGACAGGAGTTTTAAGACTTAGAGAAAAGAGGCAGAGCTCCATTTAAGATAGTTTTATTTTTCTAAAAGGGTGATTGAGTTGCTGTTGGCAGTAGTTGAGGCTGGCAATTAGCAGGAGTTTAAGAGTTTGATTTTCTGACAAAGGGTTGGATTACATTTTTGGTCTGTCAAGCTTGGGTATGCAAGGACAGCCATGAAAGACCAAATGGTCCCTTGTCTGTATGTTGTGCTTTTAATATTCCAGTGTAAATATTATTTAATGTTTTCAGACTCAACAACAGGATCCATCGCTATTAGAACAGTTGTCAAAAAACATCACTAGACAAGGATTGACAAACTCAACATTAAACTACCTCAGGGTAAGTTGAGTATGACATTCCTTTTTTGTTTTGCTTGTTTTCTACTAACAGCCCACATTGTTTAATATCCTTCCAAGCTGTTGTTGAATTTATTTCACCTTTGCTACTGATCCATTTATAATTAATTATTTTATAATTTTTACAACTATCTATAGTGGTCATGGAACTTAAGATTAATTAAGTTAGAAGATAACAATTAATTGGCAAAATTTTGGAAAGAAAAGTTTCTAATGGAAGAGAGTGTTGTAAAATATTTCATAGCCGCTTCATTCACATTATATTATTGTAACTTTTTTGTAGCCAAGATTCAAATAGTATTAATTATTTTAAAGTTCTAACAGTTACTAAAGCTAGTTTTCAAGTAAATCTTTCCAAAATTCAGCTCTAAATTTAAAATGCACACACACCTATTCAAAAATAAATCGGGCAATGCTTTTTATTTAACCCTGTCGTGACGGGGCACGTGTCAAAGGCCATGTCATCGCATTTCTTGACTTGCATTCAAAATTTTATTGAACTACTATTTTATGAATCTGTGTCACTAAGTTTGGTATCAAATTGTAAATTATAATTCAACTTTTGGTATCATATGTTAGTTAATTTCTTAATTTAAATGTAAATATTAAAACACACAGCTAAACATCTTTTTATGTGTGTCACGTGGTATGTTGAATGCAGCACTGGTTGAAATTAGATGTTTGTGATGTCAAAATGCAAAACCTACAGTTTCGTATGAATTATGAACTGAAACTACCGATATTGACTAACTAGAATATAAAATAAGAACCTCTTTTCTATTTGCTAAGATATCGCTCATGTACTGAATCAAACAGTGCCCCCCCACCCACCTCTTTCCATTTTTGGAAATGGCCCCTTGTATATATATATATGACATGAATAACCAATCAAAATCTCAGAATGTCCCCCTAGTGGTTTTCTTAGCCATTTTGATGTATTATTGTGTTAATTTCATTCTTTTCACCCAAGATTTCAAATGAGAGCCTTTAGTGAGCTCAAAATGTCATCTTTTTTTATACCCAAATACAGCTTAGTTACTATGCTTGATAAATTATAGTGGAATTCTGTTATTGATTTAGTAATTACTTAATATGTGTGTGTGTGTGTGTGTGTATGTATATATATATATATATATATATATATATATATACCTAAAACATTTTATTTCCACATCGTTCATGTGGGAAATGTCATCAGGCATAGCAACCTACGACAAGTGGCAAACGAGTACAAAGGTCATAACTAGAAAAAATAATTGTTTGCTTTACTTCTTTATTTACTCTTCTATGTTTTAAGTAAAATATGTTTAATAACTTAATTTTAAATAGAAATAATGTATATAAATATATATAATGTTTTATAATTCAAATGTGACTATCTTACAAAATACAAGTCCACTAAAACACAGCTAAGACACGTCACTTTGTAAAGACGAAAAGTCAGTTATATTTATCGGATATGATAACACAAGTGTAACTCGTGTGTTGTTAGTCAGGCATGACTGGAAAGTCACTATAATATAATAATAAATATATATGAATGTTAAGCTATTTAGCATAAACATTTTTAGTCATTCTAGAATGAAAAAAGTACAATTTATATTTTTTTCCTAATTTTTTATTGAGGTTACAAAGTCAGTCAAATCCAACCAACCTGTACAGAAATACAAATATAATAACAAATATAATATAAAGTTTTTTTTACAAAAAATTTTAGAACTATCTTGAGATTATAAAGAATTTGCATGTGAAATTTGGAAATGTTCTAATGCCTTAAAATATTTTTAATCTTAAAATCAAAATTGATTTGCATGTTGGATACTCAACATTTTGAAAGAAAAAGGTTTACAAGAAAATCTTAATACTTAATTTAAAAACCTGATATTTTGTTTACAAAAACCTTGTAATGTTTACCAATAACGTGCAAAATTTTGTAAAGATGTGTGTACATTATCAAAATTATAGTATAATTACTCTCATGGATACTTGTTTGGTTATGGGCTGGGTGAAATGGAAGGGTTAATATTTTTAGCAGGTAACAATGTTGATGTAAGTTACTCTACTTTGTTTTCAGGCTTGCTGTAAGTACAATGAAAGTTCAATGTTATAATCTTTCTTTCCAAAAATCAGTTTATATGAAAAGTAAATAGAATTAACAAAAAATGTAATCTAAAATTTAACTTAAATTGGTCAGTTAATACAGAATCAAGTAAAGAGAGTAAGAATGAGAAAATTATTATTCCAAATATTTTTTTATATTTGATTCACATAGTTCCAGTTATTCCTATTTTTTTTCCCCCACCCAAATACTTGATTACTAGTTAGCAGTGACACACTCCAGCATACTGCTGTAGTCCTAGCTCTTGGAATTTGTATGACATTTTTGATGTATTCAAAAAAATAATGTATGCAAGAGAGTACTGACTAACAGAAATGCACTACAATGTATCCTATGTTTTATGTTAGCTTTTAATTTTCTCAAGTCCACGGGTGTAACAGCATGAAGACTAATGGTCATGATGGTTGTTTGTGTAAATGTGTAATTAATTCTACCCAGACTGATTAACACATTTTAGGTGTTAAGAACATGTTCCTGCATGTGAAATTTCAAAATTTAAGTAAGATAATTATTCTAATTATTTTAACATTTTTTTATGAAAACATTCTAGAATTCATATTGTTATTTTATCGTATTTAGTGTAATTTGCAAAGAAAAGTTTCAAGTATTTAAACTTGCACAGCTTTGAAAAGTTTTGCCTGTAAACAACATATTTATTGGTTTGTTTAGAATTTTCTCCCCACCTTAAAGCATAGATTTATATTTAGTAAGAAACTATAATCTCATGAGAGTATAATTCTTATAAAAGTAAACAACTACGTATGAAGATCAGCTTTGAAAATAGTTACAATCAAAGTATAAATACCTTTTGACAGAGCAGATTATGACAACTATATCAGTATAGTCAATAAAATGGTGCGACAAGTAATTTATTGTTTTGTGGGAAGGAGTTTAGGTGTAGCTCCTGCAAAGAAGAAAACTGGATTTATGGGGAAGTTTAGAAGACTGGGAATAAACCACAGATCTATAATTATATTATAGTCTCTAGAAATTCTTGAAATGTTTTGCCTTTAATTATTATAATTTTTTTTTAAACCTACAGAATTTTTTTTTATGAAAATTCATTGGGTAAGCTTAATTATGTTTAAGGTGTAAAATAGGTGATGGCAAAATATCCTGATGACTCCTCCTTATTCATTGAATATTATTGTTAGGTTTATCATGTCAAAACAGCATAGATAAGTAAACAAATTTATTATTTCTTAGATCAAAATTTATCTCAACAAAGATCCTGCCTGAGAGGATATTGCATATAGCATCCATATGGAAAGGATAAGCACTATAATATCCTTTGCTGGCCAAGTTTATCTTGTCTAAATGTGGGGCCAACCAAAGCTGTCAGAGAACAAAGGTCACAAGATGTTGTCAACTGGATAAAGAAAGCGAGTTTACCTGTTGAATTCAGGCACTCTTTCTTGAGCCAGTTCTACTAGAAGATTGTCAAGTAATGTCTTACATCAAGATTTCTATAAAGGTCAATGTTAAGAGAAGGAAGGTTGCAGAACTAAGCACACCTTAGTAGAACCATCTGTTTTTCATGTTTACAAGTACACACCTTGCATTTTATTTTTGTTTGACAAATAATAAAAATTGTTTTTGTTTTTACAAACTTTGTCCAGTCTCATTATTTTACGCACTAAGAAAGCTCAGTTAAGTTATCCAATTCAGAATCACTCTTCTTTTTTTTTCTTAATGAATCTGTAGTTATTAGCAGATCCATTCATATTGTTAGCAAAAATGTTATCTTGATGGCACAATGACTGGTTAGGTTTGAGTTCACCAATGAGTTTGTTTGTTTTTGCCATGTTTTTTAAGATTTACAGCAAGTAGTGGTGACTACCCAAAGGTACCGGGTTTGTTCCCTGGCAGGGATACCATCACCATTGCCTGGTCCCAAGTCCAGGATGAGAAAGGAGGAGGGTTGGGCGCGGGGCCAGCAACTCCGCCCCGTAAAAACCAACCTGCTAAAAAATTACTGCAACAACAACTTCCGTCGGCGAGGTGTTGTTGGGGCCCTATGCTCCAGTGGGAGTCCACTGGGATTATTATTATAGTGGTGACTACTGAAATTGGCAAAATAAAGTGTCAAAAGAATTGTTAATGAATATCAGTCTAGTTTAAATTTTATATATATATATAAAATAATAAAAAGTATAGCTTCAAACTATTATATCAAATACATTAATTGTCAGTAGGTGATCAAGATCAGCACTATAAAACAATACTAAACTTAATGTAAATTCAAAACTTATGCCTGTGGTAATAGCACCCCAAAGCATTGGGGATATCCCATCTATCAGACAAAATCCCAAAAGCAGATGAGAAACCAGTCAGCAGTTGTGGAGAATTCGTGGGTACATAGTTGAGTGCTTACACCCACGTCGTCTCAACTCTTACTGCCTTTCACTGTCTGCAGCCAGTTGTGGGAAGGTAGTTACCCTTAAAAAGATGTAATAAAGTTAAAAGTAGAAATAAGATCAAATTAAGCCACCCAAAAAGTATATATTTCTATTAACAATGTCTACCATCCTCCACCCTTAAAAGTAACAAAAGTCCTTAAAGTAGAATATATACCACCCTAATAATTTTACTACATGTTACTCCCAACCTCTGCCCTTTTCTGAAAAAAAGGTCTTGAAAGAACTACAAGACTTACCTTAAGTCACAATTACCACAGGTAATCTCATTATGACTTTTTAGATAACGGCCGGAAAGTGCGAAGGTTTGTTTTTAAATAGTTTTGAAATTATATATATATAGATAGATAGATAGGTAACTTGAATTTTTGTTTAACAATAAAGAAATTGAAATTCTAAGAAAAGGAAATATTTTAATGTTTTTTCAAAACTTTCTCAAAAACAATTTTAAATTTCATAATATAGAAATTATAGAAACATCAAATCAAATTATAATATTTTTTTAAACCAGAAAGCTGAAGTTTTTATTAAGATTCATGCAGTCTGGGTATTTCTAATGTGAGAAGGGAAAAAATCAGTGGGTTTGAATGTCTTGAAAGAGTTGCCAAAGGCAAACAGGTCAGAAAACAAAAGCAGTGACCTTTAATGTTGGTGTCGTAAAAAAGAAAAAGTTATAACAGCTGGTATCATAACAATTTCATTATTCTGATTATCCTTGCAAAGATGTATACATGTTGTTGTGAGCATAAAGTTGACAAAAATGTTGAGTTTCAGTACACTTGAATAGAACTTAGGTTTATAAAAGATTCATTTTAAGACCAGTGTTTAATCAGCAAAGTTAAAAGTTGTGTATTGTATTTTTTCTTTGGTGTACAGCTTTGTGTTATCCTAGAGCCAATGCAAGAGCTTATGTCTCGTCATAAAGCTTATGCACTTAGTCCTCGAGATTGTCTGAAAACCACATTATTTCAGAAGTGGCAGAGAATGGTGGCGCCCCCTGGTAAGCTGAATTTGTTTCCTCTGTATTTCTTCTTTCAATTAAATGTATGTATAGTTTGATATTTTTTTCCATTTGAAAATATCGTTAATGTATCACTAATCTTCGAAAGTTTAAAGTTTTACTTTAAGGTTTATGAAGTAATCAAAGTAATAACAATAGTTTAAATGCTATTATGATTCAGGAAATTCATGATTTGGTTCCACAATTTTTTAATTTTGAGGTTTTACAAAGTATCTTTATTTCTGGTGTTTTAGTGACCATATCTTTATTTCTGGTGTTTTAGTGACCATTTGCCCTTAAACATTTTTTAACGTGTATGTGTACATTTTTATATTTTCCATATCTTATTACATTTAGATGTATTTATGATAAATTTATTTTACAGTGCTTTGGTTTTCATTAAAGATGATAAAAATTATAAGAAAATTAACATTTTAAGTATAAAAAAAAACAATTAATGATAAATAATTTGGGCAGAGATCAGCTTTCTGAGTTGATTATTCTATATGAGAAAATGACTAGAATTATGAACAAAGAATGATTACAGAAAACCAATAACACCATTGCTGCCTGCCCATAGTTTGGTGCTGGGGTAATCCTTTTGACGTTGCTTTGGTTCAATCATGCTGGACAGACTGGCTGAGGTTAATGTATATACTGGGCATTAGGTTGGTTACATGTGCTTATTTGACTGGTTAATCCCACTAGGTTCCACCTACCGCGGCCATCCAAATGACCTAAAATCACCTCAGGATGTAGGTATGTCATCAACAAAAGGTCGCTGCTTTCCATAAAATTAATTAAACATCATTCTTATTCTCTCTGCTAAATACTTTTCTGATGGTGGTGGTGATGATGATAATGGGCTAAGGGTTTCTTTTTCTCTGTTTGCAATGAAAAAAAGAACTTGACAGTTGCACGTTTTTATACTAAAACTAAATTCCAGATAAGATTCCTGCATGAAAAGGTATTTGTTATGCATTGTCTACCAACTTTTGGGTATAGTAGGTGGCATTTAATTGTATAAAAAACTGACCAATGACTACTAACCCAGAAAAGTAATCTTTTGTTTTAAACCTGTATAGGTAAGAGTTAAGTAGTGTGTTTGTATAACTGTAGTTTGATTTCAGCTACTATGTCTTAACAATGTCATAGGAAATGAAATGTGTAGTAATAATAAATCAAGCCTAGAAAAAGGCATTGTTGTCACTATTTATGTATAGAATGTGAAGTGAAATGTTTTTTTTTTATTGAAGTAAAAAAAAAGGAATATCTTTCTTTTTCCATTTACAATGTATAATCTTAATGTGAATAATATATTTATTGGTTGTAAAATCTTTTGGCATAAGGAACACCTAGACAAATTGGAAATTTAGCATAATACAAACTGAGTGCTACAAGTTATTGATGACTTTATTGTTTTTTATCTTAAAATATTTCCACAACTCTCAATAATATGATTGATTAGCCCAACTTGCTTTAACTTCTGTGTCACTTTATCTCTGTGTATTTCGAATTTGATTGCTGTTTCTAGAAGGTTTCATGAAAACCAGAAAATGTCACATGAAATATGTGATTACCTTTTACTTGCATAGTTTTGCTGTTTACAAATCTAATGAACAACCATTTACTTTAATTATTGAAGTTTTTAAAGATTTCAGTATTGCAAGATGCGCAGTGTTGGAAGTATGAATTATTCTGGCTGAAATTCTTTTTGGTAAAAGACAGAAGTTTTTGGTAATTTAAACTGTACTCACTGGAGAAACTGTTATGAGCAAAATATAAACGTTTAAAATTCAAACTTAATATTGGTTGTAAGGGTGAAAGCTTTTCTTTCACTTGTTTCTGAAGTTAAGAAAAGATGAGACTGTAAATATTTGGTTTTGGGAAATATTATCAAAGTATAATTGTTTCACCAGTCGAGTGATATATGCCAGCACTTTAATCATAAACATGGACATCGGAGCTAGCAATCATTATAACATTCTGACTTCAATAGGAGTTCAAGAAATACAACCATATGGCTTGTGTATTTTGCAAATCTAATATTACATATCAACTCCTGCAACAAGACACTCTGGGATTTAGTTAATATAGATATGTAAAATAATCTCTCACACATACACACATGTATGTATTACGTACCAAAACTATTTTTTCCCTTTTTAGTACATTGTTTTAAATTAGCGATTTTATTACAAAAGTAGCAATATGTATCTAACACTTCAGATGATTAACTGTTTAGTTGTAGTTGAACATTTGATTTTAAAGTTTTTCTATCCAAAGATATTAGCAAATATCTTTTCAGCCCACATGTTAACTAAATATCTTAAATATTTCCATGGTACTGAAAACAATACATCTATTCTTGAAGGACTTCAAAGGGGTCTTAGATTGACTAACATTCTTGAAAAATACTGAAATGGTATTCAAAGTTTTAAATCACTGGATCAAGTGCTCTTTGCAAAGTTCTACATGTAGATAATTCTTAAAAGAAGATTTCTATTAAAATTATTTAGCATATTTCTTCTTGTTTTTTAAGGGGGTACCACCATGATTGTTCTCACTAAAGTCTTGTACTAATACATAAATAGGTCAAATATCTATGCAACATGTTAATTGGATGATTGCAAAGTATATCAAACACATTCTTTGTGCAAATGGAAGCTTGTGCATTACATCACATATTCTTATTCTGGTAAAAAATTGCTTCATAATGGGACACTACATTTACCAAAAACACCTGAATACAAACAAAAGATTGAAGGAGTAAATGAAAACAGAGCAAAAGTTTGTTGCATCTTGTATGACAAAATTTGTGATGTGTCAAAGATGGATAGTGTGGCTATAAAGGACCATGTAATTGATGACACACAAATTTCATAAGGTATTCTAAAATTACCAGTGTTTTAAAACATTTTTCAGAAACTCAACGACCCCCAAGTAAACGACGCAAGCGAAAATCTTCAGCAGCAAATAGTGGAACTGGCAAGAAAAAAAATATTGCCTCCCCTGGGCCTGCAAATTTTTCACTTGCATCACAGGTTAGTTTCAAAAACCACAAGCAGTGTTTCTATAAATATATCTGTGCAGATTTCTATAGTGGCAATTGCCAGGTTTTATTTATTTTTCCTGCAGTGTTCCGAGTAAAGTGAAATTTGAGTTGTTCATGTTTACTAATCGAAATATTTTATTCTATTCATTATCAGTTAATTTTAGTTCACATACTATACTACTTACATATGTTTTTTTTCTGGTTATATTCTCTTTCTATCAAATATTCTAATCTTTAATGAAAGATAGCTTGTGGCCAGTTGTGTGAAGAAAGAAGTTTTTGGTATCAGTACAGTTGTTCTATACTGGTAATATTTTAAGTTATGATGTGGTAGTTTTTAGTTGTGTGTATGATACTAATGATGTTAACAAAAATTGATTTAAGTCATTATCCTTTTATGAAAATAAATCAGGCTTGTATGATTTTCAAGTTCCATTTTTTTAACTATAAAAATAAATGTTTAAATTAGAAACTAAGTTTTCATCTTTAAAAATATTTAGCAGGAGTTAACTCATCAAAAATAATAACTAGAACATTTGTATTGTCTTTTTATTTTTCTGGAATGGCATTTCAGTAATATTTTGCTCTTGTATCAGAATGTAGTGAAGATATGTGTAAACCTAAGTGAATCATCTTTCCGAAAAGTTAAGTAACAGAAATATCAAGCCCCATTTCTTGTAAGCCAAGAATAGTGCTGATTTTCATTGCTTAAGCTAATTTTATATTTATAAATAGGAAGATTAATTTTTTTTACATTACAAAAAAAAAACTATTCTCCAAATAGACAAAAAAATCTGCCAAAAAAGTTTGTATCTAAATTTTTTTAGTTAGCTTTGTAGAAACTGTTTAATCATTATAAACTTGCTGCTGAGTATGTAAAAGGTTTGTTCTTAGTCTGGTTTTATGTAATGAGATCAAAAAGTTAAATGCAGTGATTTTATACATTGTTTTATAACTATTAGTTGAATCTAGTGTGGAATTTTAACAAACATATAAGAATTTTGTGTGCACATTTAGGATGTTATGGTTGTTGGAGAACCATCTCTGATGGGAGGAGAATTTGGAGATGAAGATGAGCGACTTATTACTCGTCTGGAAAATACACAATATGATGCGTCATCAGCTGCTGCCAATGGGCTAGAGGATGGAGAGGACTACTCCAGTAACCCAATTAATTCTGTGTCAAGTTCAAATGCTTCTGCCATGTCAACTTGGTCTGGACCACACACAGGGGGAGCTGGGCAGGATCGAAATTCTACTTCAACAGGAGGTGGAGGAACAACTACAAATGGCCCCCAGTCATCTAAACAGGATGATAAGAAATCATCACCATCCATAAGCCAGTAATCACCCCCACACACCCAGAATTTTGAGAGCTAGTCAGGCAATTTTGGACAGTATACATTTATTGTGAATGTCCTGATTTTCTCCTGGCATGAAGTTTTGTGGAAACAAATTTTTAAACTATTTACTTCAACTATATGTTATTTGTACTGAAAGCATCTAAATGATTTCTTCCAAGTAATAGTAAACCACCTGAGGTAAATTGAAGACACAACTGACAGACTGGAATTCATGTTTATGTTTTCATGAATTTTAGGAACTGCAGAGCCAGTGATAATTGTACAGAATTGTCATTTTATTTAGTCAACAACGATATCTTGAAATATTTTATCAGTTTTTAATAATTAAATTGGGCCCATTTAATTTTAAGTAATTTTTTTTTACTTTAATTTTTTACAAGTACAGTTCAAACATGAAGTCCAAAATTTTGTGAACTCTTACCACAGTGTCAAAATTTGACATATGTGATTTTACTTGTTTGTATTATTTAAAGTCTGTTCTCAAAAGTTTTCATGTGGGTTAAAAGTGTCAACAATAATAAAAGTGTATCTGAACACTTAGAACTTGTATCAATATTAATCGGTTTTTATTTCTTCCTATAATATATATATATATTATACTGAGTAAACAAGATGACTAGCAAGTCATTTAATAGAAGACAAAAAAAAACTCTTAAATGAGCAAATGCTCAAACTGAAATGTACAACAGTAGCACCTATGGCAGTCCTGTCAGTTACACATTTTTGAAAATTTATTGTATTAAGTAACTTTTTATAGTTTATGCTTTATAGTTTATTGATTGTGCATGGCTTAAACAATAGAAACATTTACACCTATGACTGAACCAAGAAACCTGAATTTTAAAAGCCAGGAAAGAAAGTTAACCATCTTGATTGGTGTGTACTGCCTTTTAAAAATCTATGACTTGAGCCAGATCTACTTATGTAATTGCTGCTGTCATCTATGTTGTAACTGCTTCTGTTCAGTGTAATTCAGCAAATATTAGTTAAACTTAGGTGACAGAAGAATGATATGTGTGTTTCTAACAGTGCTATGCCCATTTGCTTGTTGGCTATGAAAGTTTTACACTTAACTTTCATATAGGTTTATGAATTTTCAACAAACTTCCTACAGATAATTAGTCTTGTACCACTACATGTATAAAGAATGTTAAACATTTACAGAAGAATACTGAATTTCTAATTTGGGGCATACTTATAGGTAAAATTGCTCAACCTAAGCCCAGTAAGCAAGTGATGTCTTCAGGGTTCAGTAATAATTCAAAATTAATGAACTTAATGTTTCACTCCTGGTCTAACAGAATGTTGTTTTTGAAATAAGTGTGGGAGAAATGTGTAGATTCATTCCAGCATCATTATGTAATTATACATTAGTTTTTTTCTATACATATTTATTGTTTCTACTGGTTGGGCTTTAACATTATTGGAGTAGTGAAGCTGAATTGTTTTCGGACCATTAAGTAATAAGCTAGGTGCAGATTTATAATTGAGATGATTTTTTTATTCGTCCACATAAACCTATTGTCAGGAGACTCACTTAAGTTAAATTATGAGAATTGTACACTTGTGATTTTTTTTTTCATTTGCATCTACAGTGTGTTTAAAAAATAACAAAAAACAAAAATCTAGTAGACATTTCAGCCAAAATTTTAAGGTAAGGGACCAATTTCAAATAACTTGCTTTGTGTGCATCAAAGTGCATGATTTCATAAAAAATAAAGTAACTACTTCCCAGTAATTTAGTCAGCATAAGATTCACAAATATGAAAAGTAGGAATTACATTATCCTTACATTTGTTAAGATCATGGTAATGTAATTTAGATTTTCCTGATATGATGAAGTTAGAAAAATGTTTTACAAATTAATGTATGAAAGACTAAGAAACATTATATTAATTTTCTGTCACATGCACACTTACATTGGTATAGTAATTATTTGCTTGAGTATTTCATAAGGGCAGAGCTTTGTGAATATTGTTAAATTTAATTATCTAGCCCTTGAGGTCCTTCGAAAAGTTTTACAGATGCTTTTTGGCATACTGTTGGTTTTACTGTAAAACCAACTACTGTTACAGAGTGAATGAAAAAGATCAGAGTTTTATTAGAACACCTCATATACTGTTTAACATATTCTAAAAGCATATGCTGCTTTAATGACGTGTGCCTAAAATGTCATTCAGATGGTTTGCAAGTTTTATGTTTTCTCACGTTAAATTGCTTACACGTGTACTTCCTGTCATAGTGTTTTCTGATCATTGTAAGTTTGGTACAATAAACTATACTGTTGCTGGTTTCCTGATATTAATGTTAAATGTAATTTTTTTGTTGGCTGTTTTTTTATAATTGACCTTCCTTTGATGTCTGTGTGTGTGCATATATTTTAATTCTAGAAAGAAATAGTTCCAAAAATATTTGTATTAAGGATGTCAGAAGTGGCATTTCTTCTGTATTATTTTGGTATTTCAGTGTCGTCAGAAAATTTTAATTGAGAATATTTTTTGGAAAATTTTGACACCATTTACCAAAAAATTCCTGTCTGTTGAAGACTTGTTCATTATAATTCTTATCCTGGTGGTATTTTTTATTCCTTTTTTTCGGTTCTGTAGTCTCATAAAAGTGAGTTTAGGTTTTTTTTTGAATCGGTAACAATATCAACATTTTAAGTTGTTAAATTACTCATTTTCAAAAAAAGAAATGCACAGACAGTTGATTTCTTGGAAAATCAGAATAGAAAATCGTGATCGATATCATACTGAAACAACAAAAATTCCCAAATCTATGGGCCTAGCGACTCGTCTGTGCCCAGACACAATAAATTATATATATATATATGAAGGGAAGAAAATATACTTAGAAAACTTATTATCATACACTATTTTTTTTCTTTAGAAGTGGTTCATTAGAGTCAGTATTTAAAATGGTAAAAAATATTTTTTTAATATTTATTCTTAAATTTGAAGATGTATAAAGAGTTTGTTTTTTGTGTGTACACCATAAGGCTGATAACGTTTCTGAACGTTATTTATTAGTAGAAGTTCTTCATAAAAGTTAATTTCTACATGTCATGTAAAAGAAAGATTGGAAGTATTAAGACATAAATCATTTAAATTATTTTCTTATTCTCAGGTGTATGTATAAATTAAATCTAAACGTCCCAGAAGCTAGTCACCACCAACAGAAGTTTTTTTTTACAATAAATATTAGAAATTGAAAACATACATTGATTTTTTTTACATTTAACTTTACATGTTATTTTATGAAATTAAAATTTATACAATAAACCAAAATCAGTTTTTATTTTCCAATCAACTGGTGTAAAATTCAACTATTTGCATTTATTTTAGCGAAATAAACAATAAACGCAAACTTATAAAATCTGTAAAGAAAAAGGTCTCGCAAGAAGTATTAAACCTACCTTAAATACAGTACGAGAATTAAACTTTACTGTAATTAACAAAATAAATTTTTTATTCTGTCATGAGTAGTGTAAAACAAAAGTGACAAAGATAAATAAAACGTTAATTCGACTATATTCACAATCTTTAATTATTTGATTTTAGAAATAAAATTAGTTTTTAGATGTTAGCGCTTTAGAAACTTAAGTAAATACATCTGTACCATTTCTTTAAAATGCTTATTCTGACGCTTCTTTCGTACGATACTTTAAAATACTTATGATCGCCGACTGACGAGTAAATCCTATTTAATCTAATGGTTTTTATTTTGTTTTTTACTAAAGTTATGAAACAAGGAAAAACTATTTCATCTCTTAAACTAAACAGTATGGAACGCCAGGTTGGTAGCTTTGTTTGTGTTAAATAAAAGTGTGAGAGCTTCCACTTACCTGTATGCAAAAGTACAGCTCTAATTTTATCGAGGGTAGCATGAGTTCATGGACTTTATTTAACAAGTGATGACTTTCTATGGTGTGCTGTATTTGCTAATAACTCTTTTTTCTTTTGGATATTTTATTTTTATGATAAGGGAACTTTCTTCTGTATGCTGGTGTACCGTCATCGAAATTAAGAATTATTAAATATGTATACTTTTTGGTGGCAAAAGATGTCTAGCCCATAACAGTACCGTTTTACGAGTTGGCGATGGATGCTGTTGACCTTAGTCTATCAGTTAGAGACGTTAACTTTGTCTCTTAGGCGTCTTACAAATAGAGCAGAAGTGGCACGCCTCCCCCCCCTACTTTCTGCTATTAGTATACATTACTGTTATTAACAACTATGTTAGATCGACTTAGCTTTTTTGCCACACCCCAACTTTCCAATAAAGTTATGCAATGATGTGTCTTGTGTCCATATTTACACAAGCAATCAGTTTTTATGTGGATAAAAGAAAACAAATAGCATTTTGTTAAATATAAATTAGTTTAAAATCAAATTACAACAATTTAGTATATTTCTACTGGCAAGCGTGTCTTAAGTAATTTTCTATTCTGATTTTTAAAGACATCAACTGAGGTATTGTCAAATAGAATCAAGGCACGGGCCTCGTGTACCAGTGCTTAGTAATGCATCTGTCCATTGATAACTGACAAAATATGTGTCAGAATGACACAAATGCGTAGATAAATTGAATACGGATTACAGGTCAGCAAGTGAAAGAAGCCCCCCCCCCCCAGTGGCGCACAGCGGAATGTCCGTGGACTTATACTGCTAGAAAGATACCCTTGGAGAGAAGAGCACAGATAGCCCTTTGTGTAGCTCTGGGCTTAACAACGAAAAACAAATCAAACAAAGCGGAAGTCATGTGACGCTAGTACTACGTCATGAGCTTCTAGAAAATTCATGTCCCTTCGTGAAGCCTCGAGTGTTTATTAGATGTGCGCTATTCTTGTATATAAGACCGCCAAGAAGTGAATGG